AATCTCTAAGTGTACGTAACCTTAGATGAGGGGGTAACCTTTGATGCTCTGCTAGTTGAGCATCAAGCAACTCACTGAGTTAGTGCACCCAGTGGTGTCACCTAGGAAGGTTCTCTCTCGTCACAGTGAATTTTTTCATAAAAGCAATTTCACTTGAACCTCATTTTTGGTGATAGCTAATTTAAGAGAACAGTGTGTGCCTGTGACATTTTGTTTCCTGCTCAGGAAAAATGCCACAGAAACTACTGTAATGTTGAACACAGCTTACAAGGAAAGCACTTTGGGAAAAGTCAAGTGTAGAGTGGTTTTCTTGTTTCAAAAAAGGTGAAATATTGATTGATGACAAACCTCGTTCTGGATGTCCATCAACTTCCCGAACAGATGAAAATGTCGACAAAATGTATGCACTTGTGCTCAAAGACCAACTAGAGACCATTGAAGAGATGGGGGAGTTATGTGGACCATCTTGGAGCTCGGTTCAGTGGATTTAACAGAAGATTTGGGAATGAGACCGGTCGCTGTGAAATTTGTGCCTCAGGTTCTGACCAGGAAAAGAGCGTCGAGTGGAAACACGCCATGCTTTGGAGTGGTTCTGAAGGGCCCCAGACTTTCTTTCCAAGGTCATGACTGGTGACAAGACATGGTGCTATTCTTACGACCCTGAAAGCAAACATCAGTCAAGCCAGGGGAAGATGCCATCATCACTTCTTCCAAAAAAAGCTTGTCAAATGAAATCAAAGATCAAGATGATGTTCATTTGTTTTTGTTTTCTGATGTAAGGGGGATAGTACATTTGGAGTTGATTCCACCAGGTCCGACTGTCATTTTTGGGCAAAAACCAGCATGCCTCTCTTGCTCAATTCACCTCCCTCACCTGACCATACTCTGAGACTTCTCTTTGTTTCTGAGAATGAAGAGGGGCATGAAAGGGCAGCAACTAGATGACTTAGAAGATGTGAAGGAAAAAAAAATGAGGGAGGTGCTGTCAGCCATCCAAACAGATGTTTGAAAAATGTTTCCAAGAATGGAATCACAGATTTGACAAATGTATAAGGGTAATGGAGAGTACTTTGAAAGTGATCAGGTTGCTTTGCAAAAAGGTTTAAATACATAGCTCTGGGGTAAAATAATTCCTTTTTTTAGGGGATATCCCTCATATATTTGGATAGATGTCACATTACCAGCTGTAAGAAGTAAAGTATGGCCTTACCTGCCCTCAGACCAATTAGTAATTTCGTAGGTCAGTCAGCATCCCCACAGTCAATGTAAAATTTTGTTTCTCTCTTCTCAGTCTCATTTACCTCTTAACCTTCACCCTCAGAACATTACAGCTAGGAAGGTCCTCTGAGGCCATTTAGTTCAGCCCTCTAGTTTTACAGATGAGAAAACTGAAGCCATCAGGGGCAGGTAAGCCATTAAGGGCATCCAACACATAAATTTCAGAAAAACTACAGTGACCTTGCTTAGTCTCAACTCTATGCGAGTGGTGGCTCTTTGAGAACCATTTATGGGGCTGTCCACGGGTAGAGGGGAAGCACGGGTACTTGCTACATGAATGACAAAGATGCCAGGTACCTGTGAGGGGCACCTGTCCTACAGGGCTCTTCACCTCTTTGTCTCACTGGTTGACAAGTGGGCTGCTCTCTCACCTGCTTGAGAGAGAGAGAGAGAGAGAGAGAGAGAGAGAGAAACTTGGCCAGGCAGGTTGGGCAAGAGTGAGGGAGAGTTATGCTTACATCATCCTTAAACCACGATCTCAACGTGCCCCCACTGCAGAATCAAGCCCTCGAATCCACACTGACCCCACTGAAGTTTTGTCCATAAGTTCCTTGGTTGAAACAAATCAGACTTTTTCTTACGTTCAGTCCTCCTTACTGGAGAATTACCGAAGGATGTCATCTTGTGCTGTTTTGAGGAGATATCAGAATGTGGGTGGATGTGATTAAGATTGGGTGTGAATTTCAAATGAGCTTTTAATTCGAAGTCTCTTTATTTCCCTTCCTTCCCACCCAGGGAAAAAGGCCTGATCTGTAGTGATTTGGGAGCAGAGAAGGTGTGAATTGTGTTCATCTGTTCTCTGTACACAAATTGTAACCCAGATTAACAAAATTTCATCTATGATCCATTCCCTCCTCCTCTCCACTTCCCTCAAAGTGTGCTTCCACCTCCACCCCCACCTCCACCCCCACGGCACACTGACGGCAGAGGGAGACACTGAGCCCCTCTCTCACAGCTGGGGGAGGAGCCGTTCAGGAACCCTCCAACCTGTGTCCTGGGACACATATCACTTTCTGTAGGCATATGAGGTTGTGTATAAGGTGAGGAAGCACTTGTGTATAGAAATGGTTTTTAATAATTACTGAATTAAGTTGTTAACAGTCACTGTAGAATGATCAGTATCCATTCTCCAAACTCCAAACTCATTGTCGAGACATTTCTGATTCACAGTGACCCTAGAGGGCAGGTAGAACTGCCCCGTGCGCTTCCTCCAGAAACAGTGGTTAGAAACTGTGCGTCTGCTAAGGAATCCCTCACTCAGCTAACTCACCCAAAGGTTAGAGGTTCGAGTCCACCCAGATAAACCTCAGCACAAAAGCCTGGACAGTCAACATCCGAAAACTCAGCCATTGAAAACGCTAGTTCAGGAGAGAGTGGTTCGCTTTGACACAGTTGAGGGGTGGGGGGGGTGGGGGAGCTATGCGTCGGAATCAACTCCATGACAACGGGTTGGTTTTTTCCTGGTTATGTGTCTTCGCTTTCATTTAAAGATAGAATGAGCAAGTATTCAAAGAACTACGCCACAAATAAACGAGGCTTAAATATGATACAATGATCCACAAGATCAGCAGTTCAAAACCACCTACCAATCCTCGGGAGAAAGATGAAGCTGTCTACTCCCAGAAAGAGCTAGTCTCTGGAATTGGCAGGGGCAGTTCTACCTATCCATGGTGACCATCAGGCCACTAGGATTTGGTATCACTCAGTAGCAGTAAGTGTGTATATGTCAGTGGAGGTGTGGATTGATCAGGGTTTACGTGGGGGAGAAAGTCAGGAGGGTGCAAACAAAAGCCTTGGTTGAATTATGAATGTAGTTTCAACTAAGAGTGGTTCATAGGTATGGAAAGGAGACGCTGAGGGCATTACAGACATGATTGGCTGTCCCTGTCACAGTTGCTAAGGCACACTGGACAGCGTCCCACCCAGCCTCTGCAGGGATCAGCAGCTCCTCCCTCCACTGGCAAAGGGGTGGAGCAGGAGCTGTGCTCCTGCGGTTTCTGCTTTGCCTTCACATATTCCCCATCCCCAGGACACCGCGTCATCTTGACAAGGCTTTTCCCATTAAATGAAGGCAGATTCTCTACACCGTGACTGGGTGGATCAGCAATGAGGTGTGAGGACATCATCTAGGTGTGGACCGTGAAGCCAGGCCACCGTGCCCTTCCAGTGTTCCATTGTGGGGCAGCTGCTCGGGCGTGAGTGGTGAGCTTAGAATAAAGTCCCAGTCACAAGAGCAACTCCCAAGGCTCCGCCTCCTCCAGCACCTGGAGTCCCCAGCCCACCTTCAGTCTGTGCAGCTGTGATGATGCACAGCAGACAGAGTGATCCTCTGGAAAGAGAAGGAGAGTCTAAGGTGTCTTTCTATGCCATCTTAACGTTGTTGTTGTTTTTTAATAGCACATTAAAAGCATTTGTGTATTTTAAATATTTCTTTGTATAGTCTTTGAGGGAATTTTGTGTATCTTTCAAAGGGATTTTGCCTTTGTTTTCATTGGTAGGACAAAAACAGAGTTTTACCTATCAGCAACCGTAGTGTCTTAATCATCATAGAGGCAGTGTTCTGAACAAAAGCCAGAGAATAGTTGGAGAGTGAAGCAACATAGAACCATGGGAAATCTCTTTTGTCTGTTTGCTTGATTTTACTGAGGCCTCCCTCGTAATATGTAAGATTATGACACAAGCATAATTCACTACTTGCCAGGGACTCGGTGTCTCTGTTGTTGGCTCCATGCCGACTTCTCAGACTCCTAATTGCTGCCTTCTCTAGGACCAGCTGAAGCAGACATGCACGCTGCGGTCTAATCTCCTCCACCCCAGCTGTGTATGCTTTAGCAAGACCATCTTAACTCATCGAGGCAGTGGGTATTCAAGGCTCTGATTATGCACCGACGGCTGGGATTGACATTGGCGTGAGACACCACCACACCAGCTAAAGCCCTGCAACTCCAAGTGTGGTCCCTGGTAAGGGAAGGAAGGGAGCCAGCCGGGAGTGAGGCCCCATTCCAGACCTAGTGAATCAGAACTTGCCTTTGAAACAGATCCCTAAGCGAAAGGCTTACACGTTAAAGTTTGGTCTCAAAAAACAGATACAGATGATTCCAGTAATCTATAATCTCCTTAGAGTTGCATACGAGCATGTCTTATTTCATTCATTCTACTGTATAGCTCACTGTCCTCAATACCAGTGGCAGGGTATAAAGATGAGAGGCAGCTCAGTTAAGGAGGGCAGTGGTGGTTCAATGGTAGAATTCTTGCCTTCTATGCAGGAGACCTGGGTTCGATTCTTGGCCAATGTCCCTCAAACACAGCCACCTCTTCTCGGCCTGGAGGCTTGAGTATTACTATGAGGTTTTAGCAGGGCTTCCCGATCAGAAGGGAAAACACGGTGAGCTACTCCTGAAAACCGTGTGGATCATGCGGTCTGATCCCTTTGTGCTCGCAGTTCTCACTGCCAGCAAGTCCATGCTGGGTTTCTGAGACCCTAACTGTTTACAGGAGTAGAAAGCCCAGTCTTTCTTCCAGCAGCTGCTGGTGGTTTTGAGCTGCCGACCAATGGGATCACAGGTCCACCCGTAACCACTATACTACCAGGGCTCCATTCCCTTTGTGCAGGGGGTTGCTATGAGTGATGGCAACTAGCAAGAACAGTCACAAAAACAAAATGAGTGAGCCCCACAGTCAGCAAGTGGATTCTGACCCACAGCGACCCTATGGGGCAAAAGTGAACTGCTTCTTAGGGTTTCCCAAACTGTACATCGTTGTGGCAGCAGACAACTGCAGAGCTTGCCCCCAGCTGATGGGTTTGAGCAACAAAGCTTACCACCAACAACTGTGAGGATGGCACGGGACAACTGAACGACTGGGAGGAGGGCAGAGGACTGGGCAGTGTTTCCTTCTGCTGTACATATAGGTTCACCAGGAGTAGGCTGCTACTGGACAGCACCTAACACCACCGCAGCAGCCTTGCGGTCCCACCTAGTCCATGGTGCCACCAGAGCTCTGTGACAGGAGCCAACCAACAAAAACCAAACCCCAGGCAAACAAACCAAACCCCACTGGGATGCCAGAGCAGATGGCTTCACAGATACCTAGGGTGGGTCCATCTTGTCTGGCACCCTTAAATGCCCTGCCTGTCATTCAGTCGGCCCTGCTGGGCATTTCCCACAGCTCAGGGAGCACCGCTGCCTGTGACTGTAAGGAGCACTGGCCACGAGGAAAAGATTTCTTTCACAGTGGAAACTGGTGCTTCTCGTTTTTCAACAACAGACTTTGCTTTGCACAGAAACTAGCGTGAACCTGAAAACAAAGCAATCAGGCCGTGAAAGCGGCCCCACTGGCTTCTTTTTGTTTCTCCTGCTAAGAGGTGCTAAGATCCCAGTGCTCGATTTCACCAACGGTTCCTGGGCAGCCAAGGAGCCCTGAGGAATGAATGCCGAAACTCCCAAAGGTGCTGCTGGAGACAACACAGCGTTTGTGGGCATTGTGAAGCTGTTGTCTTCAGGTTTCGTTTATAAATAGAAGACCTGGACATAGGAACTCATAGGAGAAACAGGTTTCTGGACTGCGCATGCTTTACAGCTTGTCCCTGGTCCACTCTGTCCAGGATGAGGTATACGAGGACTAGAACACAGTTGGTCCCTTCCTTCTCCTGGCTTCTAGAGGAGAAGCTTTGAGCATGTTCAACTTTCACTCCAAAAGAAGTGATTAAAAAAAAAGAGATAAATCCTATGCAAACATGAAGAAATGTTGATAAGAATTAATCAGGTTATTGCATTCCATAAAATCCACCCAGACTGCTGGTATTTGCACGGTTCTATATTAATGTTAAAAGCCTTATTTAAACAGCCAGAAATACAATGGCCTCTTAAGAGTCTCCAAGAAAGTGAAATACAGCAGAGGGGGTGGGGAGGAGAGAGAAAAAGAACCCCAGCTTAAATTCTATTCATGCAAACATGAATGGATCTATCAGAAGACGGTTTCCAAGAGCAAAAATATTGATGCGATGGTACTGACTGATCTCACCGAATTTTCCTTACTGTGTCTAACCATCGCGCGGCAAATGCTACGCTCGAGACAGTGGTCTTTGGAAGGAAAGGAAGGTGGCCGGCCAGAAGGCTGCATCCCCCTGGAGACAAACCTAAATCCTAGCAAACCCATCCAGGCATCAGTTTACAGAGAAGGGCATTTGAGCCCAGGCTGGGGGCCGGCTGGGCGGTGGCTTCTTTTACAAGTCGGAGTCGCAGGGCAGCGAGCTGTGGCAGGGCCGGGTGCTGCGGGAGGACGCGCCCTGGGTCGTCTCGCCGTCCAGGACGTCGGCGGCCGGGTTGGTGTAGGCCTTGGGCGGCGGCCTCGGCATCGGGAAGCCCACCTTGGGCTTGCTGGCGGCGCCCTGCTCGGCGGGCCGCGGCCGGTGCTGGCCGGCGCTGTAGTACTTGATGGCGGGCGGGAGCGCGGGCTCGGGCCAGTTGACGTACACGGTGCTGATGCTGCTGCGGCGCGGCTGGGCGGGGGGCGCCTTGCGGCGGCAGCGGCCCTGGCACCAGGGCACCAAGCTGAGCGCCAGCGAGCAGCCGCCCAGCAGCAGCAGGCAGCTGCCCAGGTAGCCCAGCACCAGGCTGTAGCTGACCTGCGCCGTGACCGGGGGCGGCGGGGCGGGCAGCACGTCGCGGTCACTCAGGAAGTGGTTGTACCAGGCCACGGGGATGAGGCTCAGGAGCCCCGCGGCGAAGAGCACGACGCCCGAGAGGCCGGCCAGCAGGAAGTGCGGCTCGTCCTGCCAGCAGCGCACCCCGAGCGTGGCCAGCAGCAGCCCCAGGGCCGTGGTGGCCAGCGACGTGACCATGAGGGCCCGTGCCGCCAGCACGGGCTCGGCCGAGAAGTAGCTCCAGCGGTCCGGCTGGCCGCACTGGCGCTCCTGGCTGCTCTGCTCGCGGCACATGTCCCACAGGCCCTGGAACAGCGCCGTGTCCCTGGGCTCGTCCAGGAAGCCCTTCAGCAGGCGCCAGCCGGGCGCCAGCGTGGCGGTCAGGTCCAGCAGCAGCCCGCAGGGCGCCAGCACCATGCCGAGCGTCATCGCCGCCGGC